CCCTGCTTTAAAGGGATGTGCTATTTTCAGATATATTTTATACAGAAAATGAAGAGAAGGTTCATAATTCTGTGTTAACTGGGGTCTAATCCTCTAAAAATAAAGGAAAGTCCATTGTGTTGTACCACCATGTTTCTGCAGTAGCTTTGCAGAACGTGATGGTATCTCCTGACCACTAGAGGTCACCAACTGAAGTTTGTTTTCCTGAAGGCTTTTTGCCTGTTATCCAAGAGTACATATTTTTGGGGCTTTTTTTAAAAAATTTTTTTTTAAGTAAAATAATCTTTCTGCATCTTTTATGCAATGTATACTGTAAATTGTATATGCTTATATTATAGGAAATTGTAAATGTACTTGTGGGATCAGTAATACCAGCAGAAGTACAAAACAAATAAAATTTATGTGTATGTTGGATAATATAGTCCATATTGTTTTATTGTGTTGATATTCTTGTGCGTTTGAACTCCTGAACTCAGCGAGCTGCTGTCAACCTTCCCCTCGGAGCCCACCTCCCTGGTTGTGAGCCAGGATGACCAGATGATGGTGGTTGGTACCGGCGAGGGAACTCTACATTTCATCCACACGCAGACTGGACAGGTACAAATGTGTTTGTTTTAAACACATTTTATAACGTTGTGGATCAACTCAGCAGCTTGTATTCATGCTTTGAATTTGTGAGATCAGTAGCAGACTGGATTCATTGTCCATGTTTGTGTGTAGTTAATTTCCAGTTGGTATTTATTGTCATTAATGTGAACTTTATGCGTTTGCTGTTTTTATTTCTAGCTGAGACATTTTCTACCCTGATTAAACAAAAATAAATTACATAAATAATGTGCTGTCACACTTGCTGAGAATAAGAAGCCTTTAAAATGTCTAATATGCACTTTCTCCTGGCTGTGAGCAGGAGGTGAAGTCTCTGATCAGCAGCTGTGACGGCATCTCGAGCTGTGTCTTCCTGAAGGACTTACGACTTGCTACCACCTCCTTTGATGGGCGAATAGAAGTGTGGGACATTGAAAATGGATGCAGGTGAGAGAAGGGTTAAAAGAAAGGTTTAGATTTAATTTTTTTACAAATATAGCACCGAATCTTTAAAATCATTTTACTTGTGTTTCTGTAGGACTGACGTTATTGATGGCCACACTAATATGATAACAGGAAGTGATGTCACTGCAGACAAGAAGCACCTCGCCACGGTTTCCCTCGACTGCATGATTAAAGTAACACTTTAATGTTGATATGTTTGTGTTTTTCTGCCTCGACTTCTCTCTTGATTCAGTATTATGTGAAATAGGACCTCAGGAATGCCAGCGCATGTGGATCAAAACAAACGGTGTTATGTAATTTCGTTTTGTAGAGTGTTCATTGAACGAAATAATCTTCAATATCAGCTAGGTTGTAATTAAGGTTCACAGAAAGGTATAATATGTCCACTATTTTTCCAGCGTCTGTGTATAATAATGTTCAACACTTATGATTATGAGTTTTGCCAAAGTTGAGCAGCCCTAATGTAGACAGTTGCATAAAAAAGTAACTTTGCTTTCTTTTTTTCATAATCATTGGAAGTTGAAATTGTTCTCTAACTCTAGTCTGTCTCCCTGAGGGTGAAAGTGATGATTAAGCCGGGATGTGTTGTTAGTCATTTGTGCAGCTGCTTTGTTATGGTTTACAGCCTGACGCTGCACTGCCAGGTTTGACATCGTTCCTTGACTGTATTAATCAAACCTGCTTCTTCTCTTCAGGTGTGGTCTTCTGATAAAGGTACCGAAGTGTCGTCCGTGCTCAGCAGAAGCCCTATGAACTGTGTGACCTTTGAACCTAAGGGTCACCTTCTGGCTGCTGGCTGCTGGAATGGAAATGTGATCATGTGGAACTGGCTCAAGAATAAAAAACTAACAGTGAGTTCAATTCTGTGAATGTTGCAATGTTATTTCATTTTCACCATGAATGTATGTTAAAAATACATAATCAGTTCAGCTAAAAATCTACAGGAGAAAAAAAAATTGGACCATAAATATAACTGCAGTATGGAATATCGGAACCAATGAAAACATGTGTCTACAAAAGGGGGTGTGGTCTATTGAAACTGAGATATTTATTTTTAATTTCAGTTCTTTAGCAGAAGAGGGCTTTTTTGAAAGTTTTATCATTATTATTATTATTATTATTATTATTATTAGAGAACAGCTGAAAGAAGAACTACTTCAGATAATGCACTCACTGTTTTTCTCTCTCTCCATCAGTCCCTGTGCGGCCACACACGATCAGTGCGCAGCCTCTCTTTTTCTCCCTACTCCTCCATGCTCTGCTCTGGCTCTGTGTCTGGGGAGGTGAGGGTGTGGTCAGTGCCCACCTCCACCTGTGTGGGATGTTTCCAGGCTCACTGTGAAGCCACAGAGTCCCTCACCTTCCTGGCGGAAGGATCCATGCTTCTGAGCGCTGGCTCTGATCACATGGTGAGACATCAGTCAGCACATAATAAAGCTTCTGCTTTTCCCTTCAAATGTTGCTTATTTTAATCACCATTTGGTTTTGTATAACATAGCCTTTGGTTTAAAACGTCTTGATGCATTCTCAATCATCCAGGTAAGTAAATCTCCGAACGCTGATTTGGTTCATCTGGACGTAGAGTTTTCTGTAGAGTTTTCTGAAAACTCTACGTCCAGATGAACACAATCAATGTTTGGAGATAGACTTTGGTTGTTTTCTGATTTATCTGAGGTAACTGATATGACACTGCTGTTTATTTTCTCAAAAACGACCTCAAAAAGCACCACCTCTGAAGCAGTCATAGTGCAGTTATCAGGAGAAAATCAGTGCAGGAACAGGCACCAGTATCTTCTCACAAACAAAGATTTCAGTGATTATAAAGCTAATCATCACCACCTCCCATTACTGTTTTTTCTGTTCAAACAGCTCAACCTCTGGTCTGGAGGACTTGGACGATCTGTCACTGCATTAAAATGTGATGATGTAAGTTCTAATATTTTGCTGGACCACTTTTAACTTTAATGATGCTGCACATTTACAAGGATCTTGTACTGATGATGTTAAGTGTTAAGGTGGGGCTCTATTGATGGAAAAACCTGTTCATTCATATATTCATAAATTTCAGCATCTTCATGTTCATGTTTTTTTTTTTTCCCCAGTGGATGCAGGAACCACCTCTGAAAAAGCTAAAGGCTGTAACGTCTCAACCTGCTGCTCTGTGTGTGGCTGTGAATGGAGACTATGTTGCTGTGGGATACCACGCTGATGGCATCAAACTTTTCAGCCTCAGATCAGGTGTGTTGTGAGCTACGAATGTTTCAAAAATGTTTACCACATGGAATCACTACAAGAAAGTGTGTGTGTGTGTGTGTGTGTGTGTGTGCGCGTGTGTGAAGTGGGGCCAGTGGCTCAAAAAAGAAATCTCTGGCATTAAAATTCAAAGCATCTCCTCTAGTTTTTTTTCCTTTCTTGCTCTTTTTAAGCGTGTGCACTATTAAAGAAACAAACTGTACCAAAATTAATTTTTCAGGTGAGAAGATTTGGGCCTCCGTGGACCTGGACGTGTCTGTACCGTGCATGCTGTGGGTCATTTTAGAAGCAGAGCAGACCGACACCGATCTGCTGGTGTCTGGAGGAAGTGACAAATTTCTGCGAGTGTGGAAGAGAAAACAAGAAGAGGAGGGAATGACGGAAGTCCTGGAAATGGTGGGAGTGTTTGGTGTGCAATCGGGCACCATCCAGGCACTCGCACAAAACTCCACGTACCTGGCGACAGCTTCAGGTAGGCGTGATTGGTGGTAGTGATTATGCTTTCTTCTCAGGGTATTATCAAAAGTTCCTCAAGTTCCAGTCAGTTTGACTTACGTCTAAAAATGTTTTATAATGTTGCTCTTTGAATTAGATGACTTCACCATTGGGCTGTGGTTATTGTCTGATCTGACCTGTGACCCTCCGATCCAGCCAAATTCAATACTGAGGGGCCACAGTGGCGGAGTCACGTGTCTGGCTTTCAGTCCAGATGGTGCACAGCTGCTGTCTGGTGGAAAAGATCAGGTACCTGTAACTCCTCCCCCCCAGCTTTCATAAAATGTTGAGAGGTGCCATCACAGTTACCCAGAGAGGTGAAACCAATGCTTATTTTGTTGAACCTCATGAGAGGTTAAATAATCAGTAAAAGGTTACAACTGTGAAATCAGTATGAGAGGG